CGCTTTCTCGGTTTATGCTTCACCTTGAAGTTACATTCCGCAAAGAAGGATAGCCATCTAACCATCCTCTGCGAGGGGTGGGGCGACTGAGTCGCAGTGCGTAGTGACACATGATCTGTATAGATCACAAAGGGCTTGGAGCCGAGTAGGTGGACCTTGAAATTGACAAGTGCATACTTCATCGCAAGTAGCTCCTTGCCATAAACTGCGTAGTTCTTCTCTGCAGCTTTAAGCTGTCGAGATTCAAACGCGATCACCCGATCTCGCCCCTCGCCGTCTACTTGTAGCAGTGCACAGCCGATGGCAAAGTCCGAAGCGTCACAAACGACGCTGATAGGACAATCGGGGTCTGGCAGCGCCAGTATTGGTTCATGCAGGAGGCTGTCGTTGACTCCGTCAAAGGCCTCCTGATGTTCGGTGTTCCAACACCATTTAGCATACATTTTAAGGAGATTGGATAATGGCTGGGCCATTTCTGCGTAATTTACGCTGGACTTATGCAATTAGTTGGCGAAACCAAGCCAGTAACGAGAGTCTTTCTGGTTCTTTGGAACCGGCCAGTCTACAATGGCCTCGACCTTAGCGGGATCCGCTCGAAGACCACGCTTCCAAATGAAGTACCCTCAAAAGGGAATCTCTTCTGCGCCAAAGATGCTCATGTCCTCATTGGCGTACAGTTTGATCGTGCGCATGCACTTGAGTACCGCTCTTAAATGAACGATGTGGTTCTCCTCATCCATCCCCCGTGCTCCGCACGACTATGAACGAAATTTTAGCCAAAGTATGTCTGTGCATACGCCCTGTGGGGTCTGAACAACTGCGTCACAAGCCGATAAAACGATTAAATGTTGCTGGTGCATTTGCAGCCCTTGTAGCATCACCAGCCACTCCCAGAGCATGTTGCTCGGAGTGCTCACAGCTGTCAGCGGAATATCACTCGCTGTCATGAGTAATTGGTAATACCCATCGACCAAGTCGAGTGCACTGTACTTCGTACATCCCACCATGTTGTTCTGAAGAACATCCTTTCTGGGAAACGGCGGCTGTGCCGGAATGGTGGTAGCGTTGAGCTTATTGTAAGCATGGACGACACGCCACTTGCCGTTCGGCTTCCGAACACAAGACGTAAGTGTTGAATGGGGAGACTTGCTCTCACGTACCATCCCAGCGTCGTGCTTCGCACGGAAAAGGGCGTCAATGACGTCACACTGCTCCTGGACAGGGGCCATTGGCGTTTTGCGCAGTATTTGGTTCCCGGATTCAGATCCATCTCGTAATACACAACTCGACCCAGAGGTAGGACCGACGGCGGGTCTTTGAAAACGAAGTCTTTATATTCCATTATCAAAAAGTGGTACCGATCCGGGGATTCCTTCAGAATCAGCGATCTACTTCGTGCATTCAGCACCCTATTGATGTTCTCCAGGACAGCTTTATCCAGAAGCGACGACGAGTTAATCTCCTCGTTCAATTGTATAACGACCACCTCGACTAAATTGCCTGCCTTCAAGGCTACCAAACGCTTCAGAGGACATCTCGTCCAGCTCAAGAAGAGCAACCACCGCGGGAATAGCCTCGTGAGCGAAGTCGCCGTCTGGCTCTCTCGTCACACCGTTGACAAGAGTGTATAGCTGTGCGCTATCGTCTTCGGTAGACACACCCTGGGTCAGGGTAGACGCTCTGCGTCTTGCAGATAACATACGACATCGCCTCTCCTCTCTATGGTGGTCTTACGTCTCATCGAGGCCAGTCGGATCACGCATTCAGCGTTGTCCAGTGTCCCCATTCCCTGCTCCATCGGAGCCTTGATGTTGTCAGCAACATCCGACGAAGAACTGCTTTTTTGCAGTCTTCGTCCAGTGGATAATGTGCCACTCCACGCGCATCAAAAAGGCCTTGTCCAGGATGCATCGGACCTAGTCCGACCATGCCACTCTTGCCATGCAGTAATTGATCTGAAATGTGAGCAGTGGTTAGTAGATTTCTTGCCACTCTAAGCTCATCACTAGGGCCCTGCCGATGCCTCGGACCTCGTCCGACCATGCTACCCTTGACATGCAGCGACTGCTTCGATACTTGCTTAGTGCTCAGTATTTACGTACCATCCCGCGAGCCATGCTCGGGACTCTTGTCCAATACACCTTCGGTGTTCGACAACTCGGGTACTCCAATATCCAGCACATTAGCCGTCTTGGTTTAGTGCCCGCGCCAATAGCGCTTCTGCTTCCTAGTAGAGGTGGGTTCATGACTCAACAAAGCTCTACCAGGAGACGTGCCCATAGCGCCCAAGGTCTTCGACCTCCAATCAAACCATGGCTCATGGTGTTCCAACCATGCTATACCATGGATAAGGTCGTACCTCGAATCCAAGTCTACAACTAGGCAGCATTTCACGCTATCGAAGTAAAAAACTTGATACCGAGGTCCACAGGGATCCTCGGCACAGAAACATTAGTCCCGACGCTAAGCGAAAGTGACGGTGTCACTCAACCGCCCCTCCAGCGTCTCAGCATACAGCTGACTACCTTCAATCGTGAAGAGTTGAGCATAGTTTCCCGACGCCCCGAAATCGATAAGGATCATCCATGACCTCTCAAAGCCCTTCACGATCATTTTTACGACCAGCAAGCCCGGCTTGCATACACGTTCCGTGTTCAAGAGCTCAGAACTCTTCATAGCTTGGCCCTGCTGCCCTCTACCTCTTTGAAGCGCAACAAAACTCATTTCTCCCCCAGTAGGGCGCCTTGCACCTACTAGGTTATCTCGTTTCATCGCAATAAATCCGACTGGTTAGAAGCGTGACACCGGTTCGAAAAGTCTTTACGCGCCTTGCGCACGGGACCACCAGTTCGATGGTGACGGATGGTCCACAGACAAAACACCGTCTGGT